GTTGGGGGGGGTTGGATAAGGTGATGAAGGAGGCTTTTGAGGAAGATGCAGTTGTGCAGAATAGGTTGGAGGAAGGTTGAGGCTCTGGACGCAGGGGTACAAATGACAGACTAGGAAGGGCTGAGGTGAGGTGCCCAGTCAAAACAGGGAGGGAGAAACACGTGTGGGAGACAGAAGAAAGATCTCACAACACTTGGTCGTTGGCCGCATTTGAAGGGCAGGAGGGTGCGGAGGGTCGCGCACTGTGATTCTCTATTTCTTACCTGAAGCCTCTGGGAAGCTGATAGGCTAGCAGTGAGAAAGTAGAAGGACTAGAGTAGTGTCTGGTAACTAGGCAGAGGCTCAAGAAATGTTTACAGAATGTGATATATTTATGTCGACTCTCTAGGTCTTGTCATTAAAATATTAATAGCCCGTGGAAATACAAAACCAAGAGCCTTGAACGCCTTTGTCTTAAGGGTAAGAGGAAAGATGCAGGAAGAGGCTGCCAGGGCTCACCTGTTGGGGACACTGTGAGAGTGTACTGAGAGGAAATGAGGAGCCCCGAAGAAAAACCTCACCCGGAACATCCCTGGGCCAGAAGCCCTGGGCCAGAAGCGGAGGATGGGGGATACCAGGGGGGAGGGAGAACTCGGGAGAACTTGGGAGAACTCGGGTTGACTGCAGACTGGATTGCAGGGGGCAGCCTCCAGTCAATCACTGCGGCAGAAGTCTGTGTTTGGGGGCACCCACGGTGCCCAAGAAGGAGAACCACACTCAGCATTGGGTGAGCACGGTGAGCCACTCTGAGCAGGCTCTGGCCGTTGTCATTGTCTTTCCAGGGCTGTTCTTTACATTTGTTACTTAAAATATATATATATATATATATATATTTTAAAAGTAGGCTCCACACCCAGCGTGGAGCCCAACACGGGCTTGAACTCACAACCCTGAGATCAAGACTGGTCTGAGATCAAGAGTCAGATGCATATGGCGTCTGGGTGGCTCAGTCAGTTAAGCCTCCAACTCTTGGTTTCAGCTCAAGTCAGGACCTCAGGGTCTTGAGATCAAGCCCCGCATCGGGCTCCCTGCTCAGCGGTGAGTCTGCTTCCTCCTCTCTCCCTCTGCCCCTCCCCCCGCTCATTATTTCTCTCTCCCAAATAAATACATCTTTTTTTTTAAAAAAGATTTTATTTATTTATTTGACAGAGAGAGAGGGGGGGAGCACAAGCAGGGGGAGTGGGAGAGGGAGAAGCAGGCTTCCCGCTGAGCGGGGAGCCCGATGCGGGGCTCGATCCCAGGGCCCTCGGATCATGACCTGAGCCGAAGGCAGAGGCTTTACGACGGAGCCACCTAGGTGCCCTGTTCCTTACATTTGAAGTAGAGAACTAGTCTGTGGTCCCTTCCAATTCTAGAGAAATCCACTGCTATCTTATTACTCAGTTATTTCAACCTCCTTCTCCTCCTTGACGTCACTTCCCATTCCATCTACTGGTTCCTTGTGGTCGGCCCACTTAATCCTCTCTCTCACCTGTGTAACTTTTATCATCTCTCTCTTCTCCTTGGAAACTTAGGCCACAATTGAAAACAGTCTCCCCAAAAGGGAAAACCCTAAAAACGAATTAAAAAAATTTTGTTTCTGTGCCCATGTTTGAACCATATATATACATGTTTTCCCATGTCTCGTCTTTAACTCTGGATTATGACTTGTAGGGGGCCGAGGACCGTGTCAGGCTTGGAGAAGGTGTTTTGTCATGACTACGGCAGGCCGTCCCTACAGATCCCAGTTTGACTGATGGAGAGGGGAGTCCCAGCAGCCACGATTTATTTTTCCAGTGCTGGGTGCTGTGTTCATTGCTGTGTATCTGTGTCCCTGAACCCTGAGGGCGACCCTGTCAATTACATGTGCTTCTTACCCCATTGGACAGATGAGGAAGTGAAGACTCAGGGATTAAGTGATTTGTCCAGTTCTCGCTGCGGGTCTTGGTTCCAAGCTGACATTTTTTTGAGCACTTACAACATGTCAGGCCCTGTAGCAGAGCTTCACATTGAATCCTCAGCAAAGCCCTGGGAGGTTAAGTATTCTTCACCTCACTTTCCAGGTCAGGAAGCTGGCTCAGAGAGGCTCAGTCACTTGCAAAGTTCTCCCTCCTAGGAAGCCATGGGAGCAGGCTGTCGTCCCGAGTCGCGGGGCTCCTACTCTTTGCTCTTTGAGCACAGCATTTAGTTATTAAAATACCCCCAGGAACTTCTGTGCCAAATTGGTTTTAGCCTGGAAGCGATCCCGGGGAAGGCCGCTCAGGCCGGCATTGTGTCCGGGTTGCAGGGTGCGCCCCGACTGCGGGAGAGGGCCGGGAGGATGGATCGGTTCATGTCTGCGAAGGGCAGAAGCAGCGAAGCGGCGTCAGGACTGCCTCTGTGCGTGCCCTGGAAATGCAAACAGCTCTCGGCTTGGCTTCCACTGCTGGCCCGGCCTGGGTGGCTGGTGGGAAGCCTGCTGGAAGGGAAGCCCCGTCCGAGGGAGCAGCCACGGGACCCTGGAGCAGTGGCTTCCCCCTCTTTGACCTTTAACTTGAGCTGATGAATTGGCAGCAACTGGGTGACATCAGGGAGACATTTTCTTTTTCTGTGAGCTCAGAGCTTCCATTTAAAAATTCCTGAGTCACAAGACAGAGGCTGCCGGAGCCCAGGCACACTTGTGGTGGCAGCAGGTGATGTGCACTTGCCCCAAGAGCTCCAGAAGTCTGCGTAATCCCAGGGATTCCGGGCAGCTTGGGGATGGCCATGTAAGGGGTGATCGCTGGCCTTATTTATCCCCACTGTGCTGCCAGCACTTAGCCCTGCAGGGACCGGGTCACAGCGGCTGGGCACACTGGGCAAGCGCCCAGGAGCCATCAGCATTCAGCACTTTCTTCTGTGGGACCACTCTCTTCTTGTCCTTACCCCCGGTGAAAACTAGCACTCGGTTAAACTTAAGCTCAAAGGGTATCCAAACATGTCTTTTCTTGACTTTTTGTGTGTGAGATGGGTGTGTGGGGGGAGGTGGGGGGCAGGGAGTGAGGAATCCAACGTCTACACTTGAGAGTGGTAGAAAGAATGATTATTTTAATACAGCAAAAGTCAGTTGGAGGGAACTTCGGTCTCTAAATACTGCAAACCTCTCATCTTACAGAGGAGGAAACTGCAGGCTCGGAAAGGCAAAGTGACTTGCCCAAAGCCTCACAGGAGCACGTTAGTGGCAAAGGCAGGACTAGAACGATGACCTGGGGCAAGTCCGACTTTCACTCTGGGCCTCAGTTCCCTCACTGATAAAATGGTGTGGTGGGACTTAATGATGTCCAAGATTTCCCTCAAGAACTTGAAGTGTAGGGCGCCTGGGTGGCTCTGTCAGTTAAGTGTCTGCCTTCGGCTCAGGTCATGGCCCTGGAGTCCCTAGATCGAGACGCATGGGGCTCCCTGCTC